GGAGGGGTCGGAAGAAGAGAAAAGCAAAGGGGGGAAGAAAAGAGCTGAGCTGGTATTTTTCATTGCTGAAGCCCAAATCCCATCTCAGCTGCTCCAAGCTGACTTTGAAATCCAACTTCTTGCTTAGGCGGTCGCCTGGCCCCAAACCAGGCTCAGACTAAAACCTCCGCTGCCACAGGCAGTGTGGACGCTGGAGACAGCGGCCAAGCCCCTGGGGGCCTGAGCCAGGGGAGGGGGACAGAGGGGTGACCCCCAGACACACCCCGTCACACCACGCTGCGGGAGCTGCCTCGGCTGCTCCCGGGTTGCGTCAGGGGCAGCGGGACAGGGCCAGGCTCTGTTTGCTCACCCTGCCCTGCACCCGCTTCCCGGCAGCAGCTGGAGGGGCCGAGGGACCCCCCACCCCGGGCACGGCGGGGGGGCTGGGTGACGGCCAGGTCAGCGTTGGCAGCGCGTTAGAAACTGGCTCGTTGGGGCTGACCGTCCCTCACGTGAGCCAGCTGGTCCTGAAACATGTTGCTTGTAGCCATGGAACTAGCAAACAAATTTAATAAATCAATCAATGCACTTAATTATGAAGGCAAAGTTGGAGGAGATATAAGACACTGGTAAATAGAAAGATTCTGCAGTTAAAGATGTTGTTATTTTATTAAACACCTGAGCCCACTGCACTAGTTGTTCCCCTGCTCCCCAGTCAGGCTTTATTAAACAACTCCCTGTCTCTACCAGTTATTTTAGATTACTTACAATAACCAGCTATATGCGCCATCAGCATCCACAACCCAAAGGCCATTTTATCCCTGCAAGTCTGGGCTCAGACAAGCCACAAGTAACAAATGCCATAAGGCTGCTGGCACACAAGAGGGAACTGAGCTGGAAAGGGCAGAACCCCCAGATTTCACGGTTTAAGGGCTCCACTGAGCTGCCGTAGGGCTGGCTTAGGCACCTGGGCAGAGCAGTGGCACCACTGGGGAAGAGGAAGATAATGGGTGCTGGGGGAGGGGGGGAGATTTTTAAATGGTGCAGCTTATCACTGAAACATAGAACAGTTTGGGTTGGAAGGGACCTTAAAGATCACCCAGTCCCAACCCCCTGCCATGGGCAGGGACACCTTCCACTAGCCCAGGTTGCCCAAAGCCCCGTCCAACCTGGCCTTGAACCCTGCCAGGGAGGGGGCAGCCACAGCTGCTCTGGGCAACCTGTGCCAGGGTCTCAGCACCTCACAGGGAGGAATTTCTTCCTTATATCTAATCTGAATCCACCCTCTTTCAGTTTAAAACCATCGCCCTTGTCCTCTCACTATGCTCCCTGATAAACAGTCCCTCCCCAGCTTTAAGTACTGGAAGGTCTCCCTGGAGCCTTCTCTTCTCCAGCTGAACCCTCCAACTCTCTCAGCCTGTCCTCACAGGGGGGTGCTCCAGCCCTCCCCGAGCATCTTCGTGGCCTCCTCTGGACCCGCTTGAGCGGGTCCATGTTGTTCCTGCGCTGAGGGCACCCAGCCTGTACGGACCCTAACCCTGCTGTGCACATCCCCCTGCAGCGCCAGGTTGTGGCCCCATCCCCAGCAGCATCCATGGGGCCCCCTCCCACCCCCCTGCCCTGAGCACACGTGAACCCCAGCGCCAGCCCCGTGCCCTGGCGAGGAGCGAGGCCAGTGCAGCCCCACAGGTGAGCAGCCACCACCCAACCATCGCTGCAGGGATTGATTTGCCCTGTGGCGGAAAGCCACGTCCAGGTGCCATTCAATGACCCCAGGAGGCCTCCAAACACACCTGGAGCCAGCCAAGCGCTTCGCCAGGCACCCGCAAAATTAATTGCAGTTTCCGAGAACAAAAGCCTGTGTTGGTAAAACACGGGGTTGTTTCAGGTTTTTTTCCCCCATCCTTTCTGCTGAAGAAATCCAGGCTTTTGCAAGTTTCATTTCCTCCACCTGCTATTGCTTCATGCCTGAGCAAACAGTCCAGCAGCTGAACAAGCACATCGGGGCTGGGGACATCCAGCTTTGGGGCGGCTGTATATAACGGACAGAGCTGAGCCACGTCCTGCCAGAGCAGGAGCCTCCTCTCGCCTGCCAGGCGATGCTGGCCTCCCTCGTCCTCCTCCTGGGGCTGCCGCTCGCCCTCGCTGCCGAGCCCCCCACCTGCGCCCCACTCATCCCGGTCACCTTCAACAATGCCACCGTTCCTGGGGTAAGACCTGCCTTCAGCTGGGGCTCCTGTCCTTGCCTTTCCTATCAGCATCACCAGCCGTTACAGGACCAGGAAGAGATTATATGAAGCCGATCAGCAGCTCAGTGCTTATCTCACTGCCTGTCCATGCTTATTTTCCTAAAAAAAGTCAAGACTGCTGCACAGGGGCATGGGGAAGGGGTGAAGCCTTGCACCTGTGCAGCCATAATCCCACGAGCAGGTGCTTTCAGGGGGTTCTGCTTCCATCGCCCTGTGCAAACCAGGCTGGGTAGCACCACCCCCAGTGCTTTCCCACTATTTTAAGTCCTTCAAGTGATGGGGACTCAGGTCACGAGCCTCCATCCACAAAACTCTTCACTGCATAAACAATATTTAGTCCCTTGGGGACATTTAATAGAGGAAAGCACTGAGAGCCAGGCACAGAGCAGGAGGGACACAACCACAGGAACAAGCTTGCTATCCCAGGAGCTGGAGCATCGCCTTGGCAGGGAGGGGACAAAACCAACAGTCCCTCACCTGGCCTGGATCCTGCCCAGGGTGGTCACTTACTGGGGTGCTCATGGCCATGGGACAGCAGGGCACAGCATCTGCTTTTCCTCATGTGATGCCCGTGGGTGAAGCCAGCATGGCCCCCCCCCCAACCTTTCCCCGTTCCCCTCCTCTCTGCAGATCCTGGGACAGTGGGTCTACATCGGCGGCGCCTCCAAGTACAAGCCTCACCTGGCAGAGCTGGAGGCAGTGAAACACGCAGTTTTTTCCTTCTCTCCTGGCAGCCACGAGGACGAGCTCAACGCCACTGAAACTATGAGAGTGTAAGGATGGGGATTCACCCCCTCACTGGGCTCCCCCATCCCCGGGGGCTTTTCAACCCACTGGTGCCATCCTCTGGGCTAAGCCACCCCCACAGATTTGAGACTGGAGAGCGTCTATGACAAATTTATTTAAGCTCTGCAGCCCGGCTTGAGTTCTGAATCTCTCGGGTTTGGCTGAGGTGGTTTGGGGGGGTATTTGCTCCATCTGACCTCTCTGCCCCACAGGAACGAGACGTGTGTCACGAAGAACACGACCAAGATCCACATCTTCCGGCACAACTCCACCCTGGTGCACGGTAAATCCCCAGCCGCAGGCGGGAATGGGATGGGGGGGCACCGCAGCCACACCTTGCACCCTCCTGCTTCTGCACCCCAATATTTGGCACCCTGAGCCCCCAGCACCAGGCCCTTTAACACCTAAAAATATGTTCTTGGAGGTGGGGGTATGGAAATTTCTTGCACCCCACGCAATGGGTATGGCAGCGCTGTGGGACCACTGGGATGAGCCTCCCGGGATAAAGGGGATGAGCAGCCCCCACCGCACTGCCCGTGATACTGGCCCCAGCACGAGGTGACACTGGCCAGTGAGGAACCCCACTCTCCCTGTGCCTTTCAGTCGATGACCAGGTGTCTTCCATGGCCGAACTGATCCAAAGTGACAAGGACTTGTTCATCCTGAAGCACCTCAACAACAACTTCCTGAGCCTGAGCCTCTCAGGTGAGTGGATGCTGTCCCAGATCCGTGGGGCATGTCCCTGCCCAGAGACACATTGATGGGCACAGGCATCCCCAGCCCTCACAGGCAGGGCAAAAAGCCCCTTTTCCCCCCTGATACAGAGAGGGGAAAGATGTGGGCAGGCAGGCAGCGAGCTCCCCATCCACACTACGGGGACACCAAGGAGCAAAACACTCCCTAAAACTCCCTTTTTTTCTCCCCCTTCTCCTACCGCCCCGTTTCTCTGACAGCACGGACACCCAATGTGAGCAAGGAGCACCTTGAGGAGTTCAAAGCCCACCTGCACTGCCTGGGCTTCGGAGAAGAGGAGATCTTCTTCACTTCCGAAAAGGTACAAACCCCTCCCCACTCAAGCCCCAGCCCAGGCCAGCTCCTGCCCCCGGCTGGAATGAGGGTCTAGGGGGGTGTCAGCTCAGTTCTGCACCGTGGCTGCCCCCCTGTGCATCCCCCCTCCTCCTCACACATCCACCCCAGCTGTTCCTGGCTCTTTGGGTGATTTTGGGGCAAGGGGACACCAACGGCAGCTCTCTCCCCGCTCCTGCAGGAGGCCTGTCCCTTGCCTGGGGAGAAGACAGGCGAAGGCAGCGCGGAGCAGCAGCTGGAGTGACCCCCGCGGGCCGGGTCAGCCGCTCCATCCTCATCCTCCTCCAGCCCCTCCATGGACACATCCCTGCCTGCCGGCCCTGGCCAGGCTCAGCTCAGCCTCAGGACTTTCTATCGAGGTTTTTTCCTCCCATGAAACATTCAGTTTCCTTGTACTTGCCCAGACTTAAAATAAACCCCCTGTGTTACAACTGTCTGCCGCTCCTGCTGCGCCCTCGCCAGGACTGTGGGCAGGACCCCTCCTGCCTGCCCTGCCCGTGATGCCACATCTCCAAACCTGCCAAGAGGCATGAAAAGCCCCAGACAAAACCCCACCATCATGCTCATCCCTCCCACCAGCTCCACAATGGCACAGGACCCTCCTGGTCACCCCACCCCAGTGGGTCCCCTCCAGCCACAAGGCAATGGGATGTGAGCACCCACCCATCAGCCCCAACCCCACAGTGAGCTGCACAAACCTGCCAACCCCCTCGGGTCTCCTCCTTTGTCACTCAAACCAGCCAAGGTGCTTTTAGCACCTGAACTTCCCACCGTGAATTTTCAAGCCAAATTCCAGGAGTCTCACCTGCGCTGGGGGCTGACACAGGGGTCACAGCAGGGTGAGGTGACATAGGGTGACATTGCACCTTCCCCGGGTGTCTCTGAGCAGAGGAAGGTGGAGAGGATGGGAAAAACCATCACCCAGGGCCAGACAGAGGGAGGCTCTGCTACCAGAGAGGAAAAATCAAAGAGAAATAAAGCCAGAAAGGCAGATCCTGCCTTGCCCAGCAGTGCAGGGATGACAGTGGGACAGGAGGTGACCTCCTGTGGCCCTTCACCCCCATTTTTATGGCCTGATTTGGCAAGGACAGCAAAAACACTTTCTCTTTTCTTCGAAGCCCCCCTGGGCTTTGTCAGAGGACAGAGGAGGGCTGTGTGGCACCTCATTAGCGGAGCAAGAGGCAACTACATGAGCTACTCACAGGGAAAAATTGGGCAAATTTAGGACAGATTTCACTTTTAAATGCAGCAAGTGCATTGCCCCATCACCTCCAGCCACGCCAGCAGCCCACAGCTACCAGTGCTTGCTGCCGGTATCCGCAGTCAAGGCCGGGGCAAGTGCCAAGCTCAGTGCCGGGCACGTGGCTCCTCTCTGGGCAACGTCCCCAAAAGGTGATGGTTGCGTCACCAGGGCAGACCCAGCAGCCCCAGCACGTCCTGTTCCCTCCCCGCAGGGCTGCAGAAGAAACAGCCGTGTCCGTCTGTCCGCGGCTTCGCTCGCTCCTCGCCTCGGGGCAGCCATGGCCGTGGTCGGGGTCGCCGCCATCCTCGGCCTCGCGGCGCTGCTGCCCGCAGCCGGGGTCCCCTGTGGAGCCCCACACCCAGACAGCACCACAGCATCAAAGGTAGGAGAGACCTGAGCCCCGGGGGGCTGCCCCCCTCACGCAGTGAGTTTGTGGGTGCTCTGCTAAGCCTCACTGTCCCCTGGGGAAGGGGGGAATCCCTCCCTTGCCCCCTGGCATATCTGGTGAGGTGCCCCTCCGCAAAACATCCACAACAAACGGGAAACATTCGCTTTCCAAAATACCTCGAATTTTCTCATGGTAAGTCCCAAAGGCGACCTCGAAACAAGGGGGAGGCTGGCTGGGTATTTTTGGTGCAAATCCCCCACGGCAGCACAGGGCTGTCCTGGCCCTGCTGCGCAGCACAGGGGCACTGGAGCCAACGCCAGCACCGTTTCCCAATCCCCACATTCACCTTTTTTTTTTTTTTCCCCCTGGGCATTTGCACAGGTTTCATTTTGATGCTGTCAGTGCAGTGCAAGAGGGAAAACTAGCAGAGAGGCCTGAGGTCACAGATAACAATTTCGCCCCAGAGAGGATAGAAAGCTCTTCCCCAAAGCTCCCCCTGCAAACACAAACACTCTCACTGCTGTGTCCCTCTCTCCCCACAGCTGCTGGGGACGTGGCTGTACGTGGCGGGGGCTGCCCAGTTCCCCCAGCACCTCCTGGAGATGCTGCTCATCGACCACGGCCACCTCCTCGTGGAGCCCCAGGCCAGCGGGCAGGAGCTGCTCCTCACCCAGCGCGTGGCCGTGTAAGACGCAGCCCTGGGCTCGCTCTGCCCCAGCACATCTCCTCCCTCGTGCTGCAGCCATTTCAGCACAAGATATGAGCACGGTTTCAGACTGGTTTTCTCAAGGAGAGAGTCTCTCCTGGTCACTCCATGCATGCTCTCCCATCCCCTCTCTTCCTCCCCCCTTATTATTTCAACAGCCCCCGGGTTTAGGGAAATTTCGCAGGTCTGGCAGGCACCAAGCTCTGCAGATGTGGATGCTGCAGGACACAGGCAAGGAGAACACCTCTCCGGAGGAAAAGACCTTTCCAGAGGTCCCTGCCCCACGGCTGCTAACTGCCGAGCACCTAAAGCTGTTTCGCCCCCAAGGTCAGACATCAAGGGGATGAATTTTTCTGTGCCAATGCAGGCAGGTCTTTGCAGTTTCAGTTACTTTGGGGTGGAAAACACCTCGCCACCAGGGAGCCAGGACAAGGCTGAGACCGCAAGCTGCGGGTGGGGGTCAGACAAATGCAGGAGAGAAATGGCTTTAACAGTGAGAGCGATTAACTCTGCAGAGGAGCTGGCACAGTTGGGTTCCCATCCCATGGCCAGGGGCACGTGCCCCATGCAGTGTCAGGGCCTTGCTGGCCCTTTCCAGCCCACAGTGGGGGTCTCCCCTCTCCTTTCCCATGTCACCCCTTTCCCTCTCTCTCTCCAGGGGGGACCAATGCCTCACCAACAACTCCACCTACTTCGAAATCACTGCCGGTAACACCACGCTGGTGAAGCACGGTAAGCAGCACTGCCAGGCGCAGCCGTCAGCGTTATCACCCCGTGCGTTTTTTGGATGGGCTGAGACACACAAAGGGTCTGTGTCCATGTTTTACATCAGCTGAGACATTTTATTCTCAGGTTGCTTTGTCCATTTGAAGCCTCGGTGGACTCCAAACAGCTCCCCAGAGCTGGAGACACCCTGGGTCAGACCCACTCCTGGGACACCCCAGGAACTGCAGCCCCACACTAAACCCCATGAAGCCACACCATGCCAGGAGCAAGGAGCAAACCTGCTCCCACTGCGAGGAAGGACACTGCCTCATTTGTAAAGTTATTTCACAATCCACCTGGGAGATGAGGGGAACATTTATGGCAGGTTTCAGCTCTGAAATTGTTTCCTGGAAATGGGGTGAGCCATTTGGGGTGGGAATTGCAAACCCCTCAAGACACAGTTTGCACTGACCCAGCCACGACAGCATCACTGCGAGCAGGGGACAGTTGCTCCACATTTCTGCACCCCCCCAAGCTGTGGGGTTGGGCACCCGGGTCCTGGCAGACCCCAAGCACCAGCAACCTGCACCACCCAGCACATCACCACAGGAGGACAAGAGCTGGGTGGCTTTGGCTCCTTTACTCCCCAGGCCCACATTTAACAAATACAGTTCAAATAAACCAAGAGCCAAACAACTCGCCCCATGTCAGAACACTTGTCCTCACCCACTGCTAAGGGCTGGATCCTGGCGGCTACTGGCATCACCCACACCCAGGCTGCAGCTTACAGCTGCTGCGGCACTGAGTATCTGAACACTGTGGCTCTTCCCAACCTCGACTCTGTTCTCTTGAAGCCAAGACCCACCAAACCATGGGGACACTGATGAACCTCAGCTCTGAAGACATTTTACTCATCCAGTACCAACTGCAGAGGGAAAGGACGTATTCGGGACTGTATCTCTATGGTATGCAAACTCCACACTAAAGTAACTTTAAGCTATCACGGGACATCAAAACACAGACATAAAATAATCAGCTAAAACCACGCAACCAACTGCCAACAGTCCGTGATTTTCCTGAGACCGCCGCTCCAGGGGTCACGGGAGTATTTACAAATCCCATTAGAACCTAAATCTCTTGGCAGAGCAGAAAGAGCAAGTTAAAGACAAAACCTACTTACGCCATAAACATTCAAAGAACAGGAAGCAAACACAATTCTGCAGCGATATCGTTGTAAAATCTCAATATTTTCAAGCCAACCATGATTTTTCAGTACTTACCTCCCAGGGCAGAGCACGTGGCTTTGCAGTACAAGTACACAGGCCAACCCGATCAGATCTACCCACAACCCCATAAAGCAGCATTTTAGACCTTGATAATGCTTCCTGTTGCCCTTCTGAGCTGCAAAGCAGTTGCTTAAAAGAGTTTAAAGACACGTATAGAAAACTGCCTCCACATTCAGCTTCCATCCCTCCTGGTGCCCCAGGAGTATCAGACTATCCTGCAACCCCTTAAAGCAGACAGGACGAGAGCCAGATGGGGAGAGAGTTAAAAAAAGTGATGCCAAGGCTGGTTTTGTTCAGGTGTGTTCACCTTGGGGGTGAGAGACCCTGGCAGAGACCACATCCACTGCAAGCATTGGTGGGAGCACGGCGAAGGGAGGCAGCAAGGGCAGGGATGCGGCACGGAGGGCCGTTCGCATTTAACACATGGCAAATGTTTCTCCTTTTCTAGCCCGAAACCTGAACATGAGCACAGCCCACCAGGAAGAGTTCGAGCACCACGCCAAGTGCCTGGGGCTGAGCGAAGAGGAGATTGTGTACGCGCCGTGGAAAACGGTACGTGGCTGCCAAGACCCTGGGCTATAGCTCCAGCCACCAAACTGGGGTCTTGGAGAGACATTTTCAAGGTGGTAGAAATTATTTAGAGGACTAAATAAATAAAAGCTTGCTTTGACATCAATGGTTGTTTAAAAAAACCACACTCCCCCCCCTGCAGATACATGACTCCCCAAAGCAAACACCTGCACCTAAGCATTTCCAGTGGGAAACCTGGTAGCTGCCTGGCTCCCCCTGCCAAGGGGCAGATAGATAAAGCGTGCGATTTTTGCCCTGAAATTCCTAATTTTGGCCCCCCACCATAGGCCAGCTGCTCCCAGGAGCTGCAGCAAGGGGCAGAAGGGGCCAGTGCCCTGGGGCGCTGCACAGCCCTTCTTCAGCCAAAGCCACGACCATTTAAACCCCTAAAAAACTCGGGTTGTTTTCAGATTGAGATGTGCTTTTCTGGCACCTCGAGGTGCTGCGTGACGAGCGGGTCCACAGCCCGGCTGGCTGCACATGAGTTCAGGACGATTGCTCAAGCCAGTCCTCCCCCACCCTGGCAGAGGCTCCTTTGGGGCTGGGGTCTGGCCCTGAGCTCCCGGCCTCACAGGACATGAGAACAGACATAACACTATCCACTCCCACAAAACCAGACTTTTTCCTTTAGTTTTTCCATAAAAACATCCACCCTAGCCCTAGCTCTAACCTCTGTCACCTGATCTAGGACATTTTATCCTGTAAATGACTCAGTCCCCAAGCCAGCTTGATAGCGCTCCCTTCTGCAAACTGAAAAAATATCTCACTTTTTCTTGTCCTGTACTGTCCTGGCCACCTGCTTGTCCACAGCAGGAGATTCTGAGCTTCCAGTGGTGCCCAAAACCCCGCTCCAAGCTGCTAGACCACACCTGACATAGCTGTGACATCCCCCAGCCTCAAGATGATTCTTTTAGAGATATCCCCACAGGTTCAGGGGAACTGGGGAAGGGCACATGGGCAGAGGTTGAAACCCCCATGGTGGGACAGGGGTAAGCCTCTCTGGCAACAGGCAGCACCTGGGAGGCAAGGCCCAGCTGCCCTAAATAAACAGCTGAATCACATTTACATTTGGGCAAGACAAATTCTGTTTAGAGAAAGCCAAGATAAGTGAAATCAGCCAAAGCTGTTTGTCCTTACAAGCCCCGGTGCAATCACTGTTAGCAGAGAAGGATTTCATGCCCGGCAAGAGGCAGGACACCACATCCGGGGAGTATAATGAAACCAATTAAACAACTGCAGAAAAGATTTTGGGGACCCTTGTCATCAGGCTGATAGAGATAGATGCGAACAGAGCCCCAGAGCAGAGACTGACATACCCCTGCGTCAGGCCAAAGCATCAGCAGAGCTTAAGCCACGCTAATTTTGAGTGCCTGAAAAGCACGAGCTTTTTACTTATTTCTCAGAAAGTTTGAATCCCCCTTGCTGACCCCCCAGCATAACACAGCTTTACCCCAGAAACTTGGTTTCCTCTTTGTAACAGCCATGGAAAACGACACCAGCAGCAGCTCCGCACCCAGGCAAGCAGCGTCCGCGACTGGGGCAGCATCAGGAAGCCTGTAGCTTCTCCAGGCCCTCTTAGACTTATAATCAGATAAAAATATCTTTTTCTTCAGTAAATTCTCTCCTGCTGGCGCAGTGGCATTTTCATTTATCCCTTTATTGTTGTTTTGGAAGGAGCTGTGTCAAGTGAAAGCCGATGAAAAAGGAAACAGCCCACACATGGAGCCCGCGGCTGCAGCCACAGCATCCTCCCCCCCTCCGGGTACCCACCGGCCTGGGAGCGCCGGTAACTAACGCCGCCTTAGGCAATAAATATCTTGCTCAAAATCGATGTGTTCTGTTGCCGAGAGGTTGGAGAGCAGGCTTCTGAAGAGATCAGAAGCGGGGCTTGCAAAAGGAAACCGAACACCCAATTTGCCCTGTGTGTCATTCACCTGGGAGGTGGGAAGAGTCAGCCCTAAGCGATGGGGGATGCAAAACAAGGTGACACGGGGAAGTTTTTTCCGTGCTGACTCAGTTTGCGCAGCTTCCCACCAAGCTCGCAAGAGAGCTCCTCTGAAAAAGCAGAGCTTACATGAAGCAGTAAGAGAGGCTAACCAGAAGAGGGCAATCACTACCTATTTTAAATGAGCGTACCAAGCATTTGATGAATAGCTGGAATATATTGAAGGCTAGAAACTTATCTTTAACTCTGCAGTCTGAGGAAGAGAGTGCTTAGCTAGAAGCAGCCACCCAACTCTTGACAGCAGCTTGGCTGCCCGAAGTAGCCCAGCTAGGGCAGATGTTCCTGCCCAAAGCCTTTGGACCGGGCAAGAGCTCCCAGTGATGTTCATCCACAACAAGATTTGCACCACAGTGTAACACTGACAAATTGTCCTCCTGCCAGAGAGGGAGGGGGTGCTAACCCAGCCCAGGCTGGAATTTTACTTCCCCAGAGAAAAAGGTCATGTTTCCTCATTTCCCAAGAAGCTCAGCACTCCAGAGGCAAGAAGGTTCAAGTGCTAAGAGTCACATTGCTCTCCGTGCCACTGCTACAACCCTGCGCTCGTCGGGCACCTCACACAGCCCTTGTCACACCCCCAGCTCCAAAGCACTGTCACTCTGTTTGTGAAAGCAGAGGGATTTAAAAAAAAAAAAAAAAAGACTGCTTTTGCTACGTGTCTGGAGAGTGCTTCAGTCTCAGCTTTAACCCAGTAATTAAGCACTGAAAATATCTCTCTTCCTTAAAAAGGAGAAAAGCCAACGGGAACGCAGCAAAGAGCCCTGCTCCTCCCTCTGCAGCACCAGGGTGCCCTGTCCCCATACAGCACCAGTCACCAGGCAGCGTTTCAGTGTGGAGCTCTTGGCTGGATTCCTGTAGCAAAAATTAATTTTACAAGGTCAAGTATGGCCAATTGCCTCCTGGGCTCAGGGCACAGGTACCTGGCCAGCCTGTGGCTCGGACACATCTTCATCAGCTTGTGACACGCAACACAACCCCCACCTCGAGGGAGAGGCAGTTAAAGGGCAGGAGAGGGGATGGAGAGGGGATGCTGCCAGCAGCCTTGAGCGCTGCAGGCCAAGAGCGCGTCGATAAGCGTCTCAGCTGACCGAAGCTGACACCACTGGAAAGCAGTGGCTCAGATTACAAGGACCCAGACTTTATGAGTAGATTTATAGCTGAGTAAAAGCCTTGAATTACAGTCAGAGGCTTAAGGAACCAACAAACCCAGCCTGGCCCCCGGAGCAAGTTTTGTTAACCAAAGCAGAGGCCACTTGTACTACCCAGCTGTGGCTCCTGAATGACCTTCAAGGAGAGCTCCTGGTTGGGTTTTTATTTAAGAAAAACCTGTACATAGCCTTTCTTTTGAAAACCCTATAAACCAGGTTCCTTCGAGGGCATAACGGGACCGCAGCTTCCAGCTTTTCTGGGAGACTCACTTCTCTGAACAGAGTATTATGGATACTGCACAGTCCAGCAACTCTGAGACAGGCTGACAGTATCTGAACATCCCCAACTCATCACCACTATCATTAGCCTTGATCTCAGGTTTGCTGGTTTTGCCTTTAAGAACAACTCCGTTCTCCCAGGCCCTTGTAGGGAGGATCCTTCCCAGTGTCAGCATCCTTGGTGAGAATCATCCCAGGAAGAGTCTGGGCACAAGCAGCACCAACACACCATATCAAGAAAGAGATGCAGACACGTGGTATCTCTTTGACAGACCTTTATTAGCAGACTGTTCCCTACATGAAGAATCCAAGTTAGATTTGCATTATAACAATTTGTGGTTACAGCTACAAAGATGGTTGTCATTTTGCATTGATTTTTGCATTCTGATACTCATATTCCCATTAGGCCACACTGGTAGGAAGGAGCCACTGCAGAATTTGTGATAGGTCTCAAGAAGGGGGGTGTGGAAAAAAATCATATCACTAATCCATACTGGTTAGATTTCCACGTGGCTAACCACTGACAGTACTGGCTAGTCAAGGCAGAGCCTCACCTTGAAGACTCTCCATGAACCACCAATACCTCTCAGCAAAAAAGCAGCTGCCGAGTGCTAGCAAACCCTTTTCTGATTTCTCACACACTTCCGCGCCACGTGCATGTGAAGACCGCTGTCTCAGCACAGGGCCTGCCCATTCAGCCTCAAAGCACAACTGCAGCAGCTTGTGCCCAAGTGCAAGTTTCCCTCTGTTTCTCTGGAAACTTGTATTTCCTTTAGTCCCTGAGATTTCTTCCCTCCCCCCTTACCTAAAAATTCCCCAAGACCGCTCTCAATTAGCCGCTGTGACACCCAACATACACAGACCTTCTACTTCCCAACTTCAGCCACCCACTGAAACCCTTTCAGCCACATACAGAGGCAATTCCAGAGCTTCACTGCACACCCTCTCCCTCCTCCCACCATACTGCTTCCTCACCAGCTCCCTACTCTCCTATGGCTTCCTGCTACAGAATTTCTCTGGGCTGAGGTCCTCCAGCAACAACCCCAGACGTAGGAAAGGCACCTCAAGCCCCGAAGGGAAAGTACACAAGTGACTTTAGCATCCCTCCCCACGACTCAGCTGTGTGATGTAAGAGAACAAATAGAGAACTTTTTAAAACAGGAGAAATACAAGCACAGTAACAATATTTAAACAAGTCTATAAAAATAGTCCAACATAACTCTGTTCAAATAAATACAAAATAAATATGCTTTAAGCAGTAAGACAGTGGAATGCAACGCTGGTCCATTTTGCCCAAAATGAAAAGTTGGATGAGGATCTCCCAGGCCTCAGAAGCCAGATCCTATCAACTAAAATAGCCCATAATGCAGAGAAATTTTAAAGCCATCTCTTTCCCTTAGCCTTATGAAAAGCACCCTTTGAAAGAAAAGCAAGCACATCTTAAGGACTGAAAGCTCAACTCTCCCAGTGACAACCAGCCCCTCTCCCTAACACACCTTCCCACAGCAGACATACTCCTGGCTTGGGGACTCCATCCCACGAATGCAAACCTGAACATCAATCTACAAAGAGGTCTAAAGAGATAGATAGCAGCATAGGCACGGGGTTTGGAAAAGGTCCACCAGCTCTCCTTGGCACCAGGCAGAATGGAATTCAGAGGTCCATGCAATGCTGCACAGGGGCTATCGTGTCGTGCTGGGAGCACAACTGCACAGGAGCTGTGAAATATTGTCTTTTTGTGCACTAAAGCCATGCATCAAGGTGCCAGTCCTCCCAGGGCTCTTCTGCCTTCCCCTTTCCAAGCCCCTGCTGAGTATAGGACAAGCCAATCCTGGCATGCAAAGGATACAGGCATGCAGGCTCTAGGCTGCTGCTTCTGTTAGTAAGTGCATCTTGTTAGTGGATTTATGAGACACACCTATAAAAAAATAAATAAACCTAATTCTTCATCAGGCTGGCCTAAGTAACCTTCAGCCTGACTGGATAAACCACTGCCCACCAGCCCTCAAAACCAGTATAGTTCAAAGTTAACATTTCATGTCAAGTCTTGGAAGCAGAACATGAATGTCTCCTACCCAAAGGAATATATGTAAACATAATAACAAGCCTGGTGTGGCAGCAGCTCCTACACAAGGTTTGTACTAATTTAAACAATGGGTAGGAAGTTAAACAACTGAATGGAAAAAGAAGTTCTCTGAATGGAAAAAGAAGCTCTTCCAGCAAGTCAGAAGGTGCTCATCTGCAGGCAAACAGCTCTGTACACGCAATACACGGCAAGCAGACCTGTTACCCAAATCTTTGCTACTCTGTCATACTGCTGGGAACTGACCTCAGCAACTTGTGCCTTAAGATTCTCCCAGGAGTCCACCTCCTGGTCTCCCAAAAGGCCCAACAGAAAGGACCACGTGTTGCTTTATGTGAAGCTCTGAGTAGCAAGATGGCAAAGGACACCAGATCCTCCCCTCCCCCTTACTGACTCACAAACTATCTGAGATTTCACAGCTTTGCTTAGTCAGCTTAGTGTCAACACATTCACAGAATGAGAGATGGCTATACGTCTTGGGATTGCACCCCAAGATTTCAGAGTTCAAAGTCCTCAGCATCTCCTCGTCACCGCGACTGCACGCCCAGAGTCATCTTCAAGTTTTCATAAACCACGTAGCTGATGCTCACAGCTGGAATCACCTTCATAAAGTTCGGCGCCAGACCCCGGTAAAGACCAAATGCTCCCTCTGTCTTCAGAATGTGTTTAAAGAGTCCCCTCATCGTCACTTCGGGAGCACCCTCCACTGAAGCTGCAATAAGGAAAGGCACAATAAATAACGTGGTGAAAACACTTTAAGGTAAAATCTGTCTCAAAGAGCAGTTCTGGTTCATGTGCCTCCTGTGTATGTTCACAGAGCGAAGGTGCCTCATGGAGGTCAGCCCCTCACTCCTCAGCGAGCTGTAGCTCTCCTGCACATCACAGACATTTTCTCAAACTGCTCTGCCCTTAGTCCAAAGCTCCCGATTTGAGCAAAACAGAACCACTGTCCTGGAGGTGCTTGGCCCCAGATGCTAAGGGGAGCACAAAGTCCACTGTCCTCTTACAGCATGGCAAATAGCCTCCTGCTCAGCTGCACAGGCCAGCTGGGGATGTTATTGCAATGTTTACACTAGAAGACCTTTACCCTGCTCAGAGACCATGACAGGAACTCCCACAGTTCCCAGAAGTTCTCACCTTGGGCCTGCATGCGTGTCCTCACAAGAGCCAGTGGGTAACTGGCGAGCTGCCCGCAGGTACTGGAGATGGTGCCACAAGCCAGCAGAACGAAGACTCCCGGGTCAGCACTGTTGACAGCATAGCGTTGCAACCAGGCATTTTT